CACACACACACTGCTCTCTTGGCCAAGACAGCACTAGGCACAGACATTGGGGAGCTCGAAGCTCGCAGATCGGCTGGACTTGCTCTAAAATTGGCATTTTTCGCACACATAAGGCAAAAATGTAAAGCGAAGTCAAAGCCAAGAGACCCAAGACCGGGCCAAAGCCACATCGTCCGAAACCGAACCCCAAGTCCCGTCCAAGGCGAAGCGGTTTATTTGCCTTGTGTGGCATCAGCTTCATCATCATCATCATCCTCCTCATAGTGGTTGGTCATCCCAGAGTTAAGGCCCCGTCTACTCCGAGCTGGAGACTCCAAGTGCCCGCTGGCATAATGTGGCGCAGCTTGGACATGGTCATCCATGGATTCATGGAGTCGGAGTCTCGGACTTTGGCAATTTCTTTATTATTACGAGCGTTTCGTTGGTTGTCCTTTTAGGCCGGCTGTCACAGATCCGCTGATCATTATTGTTCCTCCATTATACATGGGACCTCTTGGACTCCACCGCCCGCTCACAATGGCAATGTCAATGTTTTGTCTTAATGCGACAATGCTCGATCGCTGGCTGGCCTGTCTGGCATGTTATTTAAATAGAGGGAAGGAGGAGGAGGAGGAGGAGTGAGGATTTACAGCCTCCCGGGTAAACAATTTATTATATATATATGGCCAGTTCATACGTTCGTTCTGGCCATAAATTAAATGATCTTCGACTTAATGTGGCGGCTGCACAAGGTCGCGTGTGGCTATTTTTTTTAAATTCCCTATGCAGTCAGTCAGCAATTAAGCGAGTTAATCGCAGTTCGATGATTTGTCAGTCTGGCCACAGAGGGTGGAGGATTGGAGGATGACTGCCCGGTTGGCTAATCGCCGGGAAGGTCACTCCCTCGGCTCCATCAGCGTGTGCACTCGAGTGCGAAGTTCTCCACTCCAGCGATGACATCATGCGGTGGCAAATTCTCGGAACTCTGAGGCCAAGACAATCAAAGTCAAGCAAATATCTATAATCACTTAATGTTGGTTTTCACATGTTATTTGCACATTACATTTTTTTAGAATGCCAAAAGCAAAGAAAATATCATCAAAATTGTTTAAATATCTTTCGAATGATTGTCAAAAAACATCGAACTTGTGAGAAATTTGTTTGAAAAGAATTTACCAAAAAGATTAACATTCTTTATTGTTTATAAATGTTCTGCCTAACTAGCCAACTCTTAGCTGAACAAAAAAAAAATTGTAAATGATGTTAATAATAATTTATCTAAAAGATTAACCTTCTTTATTAGTCATTAATGTTTTGCTGAACTATCTAACTCTTAACTGATCAAAAAAAACATTTTAAAATGATGTAAATAATAATTTATCTAAAAGATTGAGTTTCTTTATTACAACACAACAAAACATTTTGAAATGATGTAACAAATTTCATCAAATAGTTAACTTAACAACAGATTAAAAAAAATTATCCAAATTTAAATATTAAAGCTAATAAAGCTTTCAACTATAATAAAAATATTTTGAAGTGATGAAATCTGACTTTAATATTTTCTTTCCCAATTTTTTTTTTAATCGTTTTTTATTTTTTTGTAAAACAAATAAATATTACAAAAATCTTTTTAACTAATTGTAAAAAATTAAGCTGAGCAACTAAAAAATCGAAATATATTAAATATATGTTTAATAGTATATCTTTGTAATTTATTTCAAGAATGATTGAGATTTTTTGTAATCTTTTTAAATAACTTAATTTCGTTTAGTAATTTTACTATGACATATACCATTGGTAATAACTGTGATAACTATATTCGATCATTGAATTATTTTAACCAAGTTGAAACAAAGTAATCCACATAATCATCTGTAAATATCTATTGAACAATTTGGAATCTCTTCGGTGTGAGTCAGACTTTTACTTTCCCTAATGCAGACAAACAAAAGTTTCGCTTTAGTAAAGCCAGCCACGCCCCCTGAGCAGTCCCAGTCCCCCGAAAAACCCCTTTCTCCGCCCCTTTCTCGACTGCTAAGCAAGTTGGCAAGTTATAATTTAGCTTTCAGCTTTGGCTGCCGAAGAACGCTGAGGAGCTGAAACTCGGAAACTCTGAAAACTTGGACTCTCGGTCTCGCTTGGTTTGGCCGTAAATTATAGCCTCGTCTGCAGCATTTCTATATATATTTATTTGTTTGTTTGTATCGCGAAGAGAAAGATGTATTCGTATCGGCTTTGTGTATTTTTAGGCTGCATCTTAATTCCAGAGACCAGTTCGCCTACACGAGTCGCCGAATGTCGCCCGTTTGGGATGTATTTCGCTTTTATTTCTTCATTTTTATCGCGTAATGTTTTTTTGTTTGCACTTGGCCAAGCAGGTAATTCTCCATTCTGATGGCCTTTTAATAAGCCAGCACCAGCCAATACTTGACCATACAATACTTGATTGTGGGCTTTATGAGTTTATATATTTTAATGCTGCCTGTTTTTGTTTTTTGTATGAGTATTTTTTTCTTGTCGATATTATCTTGTTGGGCTGTGTTTGGTTTTTTTTTTGGTTTTATTTTTTTTTTTGGCGTGTCATGTTCCTTTTCCAGCAGTTGTGTTTGTGTAGGTGTCTTGTTTGGTCTTTTGTTTTTTCGCCGCGCTCGTTGGTTAGTTTGTTTAGTTGTTTGTTGTCTTGCCTGTGTAAGGCAACTTGCAGGGGCAGGCAAGTTAATGACTAATGTGCTAGGGCTTTCGGTGAATATGCCATATACCATATAACATATACCATATAGCATATAGCATGCATATAAGGCAGGAAGAGTCAGAACGAGTGAGTGAATCATGACATGCCGCGCTGCCGAACTTCATTAGTTCGCGCAAGTTCGTTGCCTCAGTCTTTCGTTTTTTTTTGCCAAAAAAGCCCGCCCCCGACAAACCGAAGATTGTTATATTCGACCATCACTCCAAATGGCCACAAATTGTGTGTGTATGTACTCCACGATCGAAAACGAGGTCACTTTAGCGGGTTTTTTTAGCAAAATGGAAAAAATAAATACTTTTCGTGTTTCATTGCGCGCGAATGACATCATGCAGCTTCAAGGGAGCTTCTCAAGCTTTGTTTTTTTACCTTGCACTCCCAGCTCTTAACTCTATTTATAATTGTATTTCTAAGTTTTAAAATGTAAATAGGTCTTACCTTTGGCCTGGGCTAATCCGCAGAAGAGGGCCGCCAGCCACAGTGAGCGCCACATTTGCATTGAAAGCAGCATTTCCCAAAAAATATGTCGGATCTAATTGGTCGGGGGAAAAAACGGAAAGACAAACGGCATATTATTATAAGCATTTCGGCCGAACTGAACTGAACGGCACATGCTCCACAAGCGAACCAGCATTTTATTCGTTATTTGTATTCTTGGCTTGGCCTTTGGGTCGTTTTCACAGACACAATTTATACATGGGGTATATACCGCAAACACACACAGCGAGTTATTATGAAACAAAGCCAGAAGAGAATGCCCGTCAAGTTGAGTGGCTTGCGGCGACCGCTCAGCAAACTCAGCAAATCAAAAACCAAATGACAACGGCAAATAAAAAACGAAACAAGCCGCGAACCACTCACATATCACACAAAATCACACAAAACTCGGAGCGGGTCTTACTTGACGGCTGCAATATGGGGATACTCGAATACTCGGAGACTCGAACCTCGAAACTACACCGCAGAGCACACCACACGTCCAAGCTGTTCGCTAGTCGCCAGGCAACTGAGGCCCACAGCTCGGCTGGAACTCCATCGAGCGGTATGGAGAAGTGGGAGAGCCATTTGTAGACAGAGATGCTGACTCAGTTTTGGTGGGCAGGAAAAGTCGGACTTATAAGGCACATAAAACCCATTAAACTATGATTTGGGGGAAGCACTGAAACCAAACCAACATAAACAGCCAATAGCAGGAATAATAATGCTAATTATAAAATGAAATCAAAATCAAATTTCCTAAAAAGCAATATAACGTTTAGTTTATTCAAAGCTTTGCAGTTTACCAACTAGGGTTAAAATACCAAAAACCTTTATTACAAACAAATGGATCGATTAAAAGATAATATTTATTTATAGTTTTGAGAAAGCTATTTTATGAATTTTTTAAGCAGCAAATTTAAAAAATGTTGAATCTGAAAGCTTCAATAAAAATGGTCAAACTTAAACATTATATTTAGTCATAGTCTTGGGAAAGCTGGTTAACATGTTGATAATCAAACAACTTCTAAAAAAAAAATATTTAAATCTGAAAACAATTTTAAAAATGATTCGATTTAAACAACATATTTACTTAGTTTTAGGAAAGCTGGCTGCATAAATTTTTATAAGAAAATAATTTTTAAAAATAAGCATTTTGAATCTAATTACTTTGTCAAAAAGTTCAAAGATAAACAATATAATTATTTTATAATTTTGGTAAATTTCGTTGATACTATAGCAAACTTATTAGGCAGACCATTTTTATATAAATCCAGTAAAAAAAAACCATAAAAAAATTGTGATAATATCCCCAGCCTTAATACCAAGTGGCTATAATTCTAGAGATTAAATAACCTATTCGCAAATACACATATATCTAAAAAAGTAATTCTTGCGAATTGTTGTAAATGCTTGCCATGATAAAATGTGACTTTAAAAACTATTAAGAAATTAAAATTTAACAAGGCAGATGTAAACCTCAATACCTTAATTTTTATTAGTTTTTTGCCAAACGGCTTAAACTATAAATACAAACTGTTTGCCCCTCGCTTCTAAGAAATTTTATGCTAACTCATCTGTTGATAAAATTCTCCTCACTGGTATTCATTTTTGTTTGGTTTCTTTTATTGTAATCACCCAAGTACAGCAACAATAAAAGAAGGCACTTACCATGTTCGTTACCCAACCAAAATTAAAAAAAGGTAGAGTTCAAAAAGAACATCAGAACATGTTTATTCAAATTAAAATAAAACACTTTCAAACCTAGGAGAATGGAACAGCAAAAGTCAAGTTGTTTAAATATAGCCATAAACTATTTAAATTGCCAACACTGGTTGACCATTAGAGCGTGGACGGTGGAATAGGCAACGGCGCTAGCTAGCCGCTGGCTGTTCACAGTGCATAAATAAAGCCGACAATTACGAAAGTGCTACATTACAATTTATGGCTATATTTGAATACATTTAGATAAGCAGCGCAAAAATAAACAAAGTGCCCACTGTGACTCTCTCTCCATGGCATTGAGCATCTCTGTTGCACGCTAAGAGAGCAGCTTTTGCAGGCGAAAAAGCTCGTGATTGAGAGCCTGCGTCGGAAGTTGCGGTAAAAGGATCACTCTCTCAATTCACATCTCTTCCTCTCTTTTCCTCTCTTGTGGCTGAGATAACAATCAGCCGGTATGTTTGTCTCATGACAAAAAATGAGAAATTGTGGGAGCAAAATCTTACAAGCAATTATGCAATCTCGTCTCCGGCATTATTGTTGTTTTTGGTATTGTGGTTTTTGTTGCAGCCCAGCCGCTATTGTTGTCAAAACAAACATTTATGTAATTGCGCTCGCTGTCAGCACGAACTGCAGGTTCTCATCCATAGAAACTGCGGAGGTATTAGTTTAAAATCAGCTAAATGCACTAGATGTTTTAGATAATCGCATATATGTATATACTTACGGTACTGCTGCACTTCCGCCAAAAACAAAACCGTTTTTTTTTCATTGGTCATCTGGTGCATTTGCCAGAACCCAGTTCTTAAAGAAGTTAAAGAACCGAAAAGCCTAAGTACCGCCCGTGAGCCCAATTTCACACCTCTTGGTTTCGCGCGTGCTTAAGCATTATTCATTATGCTCGTACTTGTTAGTTTTCCAAACCAATGGTCATCCCCTCATTAAACGGCAATGGAAATGGAAAATATATATGTATGTACATACTGCCCATGGGCCCCTGAAAAATAAAACGGTAAATGACGTGCAAAATAAATGCAACCAACCGGGCTCACTAATTAAATTTGCTTATTTCACCTCAAGTGCTCTATTATTACTTACATAGTTGCCTCACTTAGAGGGGAATATTAATAAACTGTATCCCACCGCAATAATAATTTAAACACAAATTGAAATTAATAAACATTTACCACTTGCACCAAAATTACCATTCCCCCTTGCACTAGAATCAACGATCTGGCAACTCCGTCATGAAGTCCAAAGAGGAATATGGAAAACATGCTACAGCTGTCATCTCGCTCGCACATAACGGAATGCCTACTTCCAAGAAAAATAAAATGCAATGTTTTATGATTGTAACTTCACGATTTCACAGATATTTTAGTCGAAACACTTGGCATTTATAGGCCGGGAAATGTGCAATATAGCTTAAAATCAATACATTGACACGTAACCCGGCCTGCAAATGTTTGTGTATTTGCAGGAACTTTTTGAAGAATACCCTTGATATTTTGAGGCCGGTGAATGTGCAATATTTTTAAACTAAAATATTGTCACAAACACCGTCCGAAAAACTATCTGGGAATACGTTTTAACACTTTTTTGCTGCTTATTGCTTTATTTTATAGGCCGGGGCCAGTGCAATACGGAAAAACAAAACCTCGCATTGTCACCAACCGCGACCTGCAAATTAATGCAAGTCTATTATTGTTTATAACTTTTTAAGTTGCTTTGTATTTTAAGTATTCCGGCCGTCTCAAGTGCAATACTAGTCAGAAATACAGGATTGCTCCTGGGACGGACCGAAACACTAAAAATTTTATGTATTATGATTAACACTTTCACTGAATTCGGAAGAGGCAGACAATTTCAGGCTGGGGAATGTGCAATACTATTAGAAAATAAAGTTTTGCCCAATCCACAGCCCAGAATGATTAGCCACAAATTTATTCCTTTTAACGACCACTCGCGACAACTTTTCATATCGGAATGCCGGACAAATCCCGAAAACTAAAAAGACGGCGATGAAAAAAAAAACAAATTTGACAAAACGGAATGCAGAAGTTCAGAGCGAGATGGCAATAGGTAATAGGGTAAGGCAGCCATCGAATTTTAGATTCTACAAACAAAAGTTCAACGGCTACCTTACATCACTACTCTACTTAGAAGAGAGGATATTTAAAATGGCGTTTATACGGATACTTTTTACACTTATTTCCACGAATTCGCACTTTTATTTTCGTATTTTACTTAGCTTACTTTTCTAGAAAACTCAATCTAAGCAATGAAAGGACTTTTATTGAATAATCTAGATAAGTAAATCAAAGCAGCGATTAGAAAGGTAATTTTATTTTCATTTTTTTGTTTGAGAATTCCACTATGTAAGTTGTTACCAAGCGAAATATATTTTTAGGTTAAAACATTTTGAGGTTAGGACGTATTTATTCAAGTTTGACTAGTTTTGCAAAGTAATTTTAGATTCGGTTTATTATTTTAGAGCCACAAAACGCGGTAACTTTTTATAAATATTTTAAGTCAGTTTCGCAGGTTTGGTAAAACATACAATGCCTGCCAAGCCGACCTAAAAATTTATCAAGTATCACAATTTTCGCCAATTATTTTTAGGTTACGTTTATTAATTAATATAGGATGCTACATTTTTATAAATATTCTAGTCCGATTTGGCAGATTTTGTGATAACTACAACCTTCTGCCAAACGAGCCTAAATATTGATAAAATAATCCAATTGCACTATTTTCGACAAGTTTTAGGTTACGATTACTTTTAACACACAGGATGGTAGTTTTTTTTTTATAAATATTTTAGGCCGATTTGTCAAATTTTACCTATTATTTTTATATTACGATTATTTTGTAATTAACACGGGATGGTAATTTTTTATTAAAATTTTAGACCGATTTGGCAGTTTTTTTGTAATATAAAAAACTATGCCAAAACGGCCTAAATTTTGATAAAATATTTTTTGTTACACTTTTCTAACATATTTTAGAAACGTTTAATTTTTTTTTTTACTAAAACCCAAGTAATTGCCGTTTATCTTTCTTTTATCACTCGTCGATATATTTCTCAAAATGCATAACACCAGTTATGTGTACTTTACGCAAAAAATGAAAATACACACATCTGGTGCTAGGCACTTAGGAATATTTTTACCAAACTTCACCTTACTTCTCAAGTTACTTACAGGAGCAATTAGCTCCTTCGCGTTCGACGGTCAAAATTGAAAAGGCAGAGCGAGTTCATCTCAACGAAAACGAAATCTTTGTGACAGTGTTGGAAATCGACCTTTGACACTTATACTAACGCCGCATACACGGATACAAAGCTGTGTATGTGTGTGAAGGCGACAAAATCCCCTCCAAAAAATAACCTCACTTTTAAGTTATTGCTTAAATATGCGACTTGTTTTATTAAATACTTACCTGTTTTCGCATAATCAACTGGTGCTGTATAAATATATTCCTAAAAGCTTCATTAAGAGGACCAACTTCAAGCGTACACTAGTTCTTGAGGCACTTAATGTTCAGAAATTTCATGTTTCATTTATTCCCACCCATTCCTGAAGGGGAAATTACATATGTACATATGTTTGTGTGCGAGGCCACGACGAACTCTAGAACATTCCCTAATATATGGAAACTCAATTAATATATAACCTAAAAGTCAGCCAAAGTCTAGAAAAATGTAAATGAACAACTATAAAAGTAAATATTAATAAAAACCACAAAAAAAGCGACCTAAAGTTTTTAATTATATGTACATACATATATATATATATCTCAGTGCTACCTTAATTTCAAACACAACTCAAATATAATAAAAAACACAGCATAGAATTTTATTTATTTATTTCATTTTCGGTTGTCAAATACTAATCATTTATTGTCTGTTCTATCTTGATTATTTCTGGTTTTATTTTCTGGTACTGAGATAATTGCTGCTCTATTTGGGCACTCAATTTCAGCCGCTCGTCCTGCATATTTTGTATTCGCTCACGATTAGCATTGTTTTTGGCCATGGCAATCTGTAATTAAAATGGTTAAGTCAGTTATTAAATATTTTATTAGATTGAAATGTGAATCTTAATCAATTATACATATTGCATAAAGACATTAAGTTAAGAAAAATGTTCACGGTTTAAAGGTAATCAACATTATTTTTCTAAACTGAACATATATGATTGCTTCAATCAGAAAGCAGGTATTAACAAACTTTTAAACACTAGTTTAGTGTTAAGGGATTCATATTAAATACCCTTAAAATGATTCCTAACAAATGATTAACCAACAAACTGGGCGCACCTCAAGTTCTTTTTCCTGGGACTCCAGTTGTTGCTGCATAAAATTCAGACTGAAATCCATATATCGCATACGCAACGGGCGAGTGAGTTCATCGGGGTCGGTGGTGTTAAAATTCCTGTGGATTAATATAAAGTTTTTCTAGACTTCTATCATATATTCTTAGCTATGTATTAACTGACCAGCACCAATTCTTGCCCTCATATTGAGCAAACTGTTCCTTGAGCATCTCCAAAGTTGTTAGCTTCTTTTCCACATTGTTGCTGGCGAAAAAGCAAGAATTCATTTCAAAAACTGCCTTTGTCATAAGGCTGCGAGTGCGGTTAATGATATATTCGGTGTCCAAAGCTGATTCTTCATGTTCCTCATAAATGGCTTCACATTCTTCCAGATCTGAGCGGCTAAGTATAAACAATATTTTATTTTGGATTCCTTGATTCAACAATCTCTTGCTTACCTCAGGTCGGCAAAGATTTTTGTAATGGCTTCTTCGTAGGCCTGCTTCACTTGGGACCCAATCCCCTCATGGCGGTTAAAGGCAGCTTCTATTTCCTCTGCTGACATATTTTTTAAGCAATTTCAAATTAAAAACAAAAACATTGTTTACCCCAGAGTAAGTGTGACCAGTTACAATTTACTGTAGAACACCAAATCGATAACATCTAATGGGCATGGTGACAACCCTGCTATTGGGCGCAACATTTGCAAATTGGAATATTTACACTAATGTACTGAATATAAAATTTTGCCAAAATTTTTGGTGAATGTAAATGTGTGCATAAGAAATTTATTTTATTAAAATTATATGAAACATGAACATAAACCATATTTTGGGTCAACTGTGAAATTTTGAAGATAATAAATCGATTTGGGTTTCATTTGCAAATGTATTTTTAATCAGTAGTATATTAAATACTCTAGTCGGTACAATGATCGGCTCACTGCACACGAAAACCACCTAGCAGCTTCCTTGGCCCACCCAAGGACTAGAAGAAGATTAAAGCGAAGGCACCCCGGTGATCTCTGGACAAGAGGACGTCAGGTCTCTCGAGTCCTAAAGCAATAAAATTGTTTTTGTTCATTTATTGTAAATATTGTTAATCACCTTTTCTGTTATGTATCCACGTTATTATTTCTCTTCGTACACAACGTTTTATAGCCATTAGGTTGGCTGATCAACGTTAAATAAATGAATTTGTTATACTATAAAAAAAAGTATATTAAATAAGTAAATACGTTAGAACTAAAATTGCAAAAAGGGAAATTAGAATAGGGAAATAAAAAACATACACATTAAACAATTAACATTTTAAGCAAACTATTTTTAAATATACTTTTTTTTTTAGTATTTTAAAGTAGGAATTCAGAAATGTATGGGGCCAGTGTGAAACCTGCGTTCTCTGCCGATATCTATCGATTGCCCCATATCGATCACAGAATGAAACGCCATTTTGCTATTCCTCTCTAACTTTTTAACTCTCGTGTGTTTGTGCTATACCTATACATATTTTAAATAATATTTTACTAGCCAGCGTTAGTGGCGAACAAAAGCGTGTTGAATAACAATTGGACAATTGGATTATTGAGTGACAGAGTTTGGTGGCAGCAGCGTATTTAGCAGCTGAAAAAAAACAAAGGCATCCCGATAGGTGAGTTTCCCTTGCGTATTTTTTTCTTACATTTGCCTGGGGGACGCGAATGAAAAGCGAATTTGCGAGGCAAATAAACCAGGCTAAAAGCAGTGAGAGTGTGTGTGTGTGTGCGATGTTGTGTTTTCCCCGAATACATTTTCTGCGAAAAAGTTTCGCCAATACATGCTTATTTTCCTTGCTTTTTAGTGTGATCCAGCCCCCCCCCCACTCCACCACCCCCCAAATCGTTCTTTTGGCTTCGGCGCTTCACTTTTACAGTTTTTTTTTTACAACCACCAGGGCACACAGAAATATTCCTAGCTCTCTCTCGCTCTCCCGCCTTGTCTGCCTCTCCCTCTCTCGCTCGCTCGCACGCATACCGGCTTTTACTCAAAGTACAGAGTCGCAGTTGTTGTTTTTATCTTTGGCTCATCCTCTTTGGTCGCTTGTTTTGTTTTTCTCGTTTTTTTTTTCGCTTTACTTTTCCTTGTTTTCCCCTTCGTTTTCTTTTATCTCCACGCGGTTACCGGCGCATATAATTTCATTATAATTTACAGAGATAAAATCAAAACAAAATAGTTTCGTTTCGTTACTTCAAAAACAAAACTCCCACGCTACGGAATGGCGAGTTCAATGCTCGGCAACGTTTTTTACAAATAAGGAAAAGGCCTAACCTATATTTTATTCATAGTAAGGCCGCCGTTGTTGTTGTTTTAGCATCAATCGATGAGGGAGAAGAAGAGGAAATGGCAAGAAGAGCTGAAAAGAGAGAGAGACAAACAGAAATACACGTTGTATTTGGCTGGGTGCAGCTCATTACCACCTACCTGCCTCCCTCTCTTCTTAACTTCCTTTTCTTCTCGCTCCCTCCCTTCTTCACATCTTCCCCTCCGCTGAACCCCTGGAACCCACTGGCATTTGAAGCTTTTTTTTTAGTAACATCTCTCTTCTCACAATCCAAATCTTCCCAGCAATTCTGCAACTTTTGCTTTTCGTTCTTTAACTGGCAATTGCGACGAATCTCCTTTGTCTTTGTTTAGATTTCCAGTTTTGTGCAAAAAATTCGCTTTTATTTGCCTTGTTTGGCTGAGTTATTTTCGTGTTTCTAGCATTTGTTTCGAGTGAAGCAATACCAAAGATATTTCGCGGCTATTTGCGCGCGTTCATTGACATTGAACTGAATTCTCGCGTAAAAGCTGTACAGTATAAATTGGCTGACCAAAAATCACCATTTAGTGGGCTTATAAGGTTTATATACCACTAAAAAATATATCTAAGCCTAACACTACAGACGCAGAATTGTCTTGAATTTGAACTGTGGTTTCAAAATCACTTGTTAGGTGTATCTCAGTTGATTATTTGGTTTTCAAATACCATACTTGCCCAAAAATTTCTATGACACCAATTTTTGGTTTTCGGTTAAACGAGATTTCTGTGACGCACCTAAATATGATGTTTTGTTTATTTATTAAATACCTGGAAGCCCAACGAGTTAAGAGGTTTCTTGTTTCCATGCAAATGTCTCTGACCGTATGAGCATTAACATTTCTGAAACGTTTGACATTCAAATTTATTTAAAACTCATAAAGTAAAGTTTGTTTACAATTATTTACGCACGTCATTTCATCTGTTTCATAATTTTTGAAAGTACGTTATCTTTAATGTCATAACTACAAAAAGTTTTTTTTCATGTTTTTTCTTTCAGACTACAAAGCATTTACAAGCAAACGTTTTATGACCCGTCTCACATATAATAAAGCTAAACATAGTTGAACCATATATTGGAACCAACTTATCTTTTTGTATTGCTTCACTATTCAAAAATAGTTTTACGTTCTCGAAAATTATTGTAATTTTCTTTACTCTATTTTCCATGATTTATTTTTTGCAGCTTATTTAAAGAGCTTTGCAATTTGTCATCGTTAAATACAGAACATGACAAGTAAGTATCGTTATGTTTGTTTGCCGCTTCACAAAAAAACATTTTGTAAAATTGCAAAAAAGTTAAATATTAAACTATACTCGATAGTTCCAGTTGGCCATCGGTCTAATTCTCAATTTCAATATATCCATTTCGCATATTGTACTTTCTAGTTTCTGGGTTGTTTCGGTAGCCTTGTGTTCTAAATCGCTCATATGAAATGAAAAATGTATGTTGCTTGCCGTATTTTCAGCGCAATCATCCTAAAATTGGCAATTGAAATAAATACAAAATTCAAAATAGTACTGTGAAGCTACAATTGTACGCCAATCGGTTGTCGGATGTAGGTCGCTTTGATGTTCTTGATTTCCCACATGAATCCATTTTCAGATAAAAATACAGACCATTCTAAGAGGTTAACATGGCCCGCATATGTGTATGTCGTTGACTATGGAATTGTTCCTCGGGTTATATGGGTTAACTATGCTGGTTGCCCTATAGTACCAGATAAATATTTATTTCTGACCTCACAAGTACCATTTGATGATTATTTTTTCCATCTTCTCAATAGCATTCGCAAAACATGTTCCGCTCAATGATTTACGATAGCTTTTGTCTCGAATGACAGACGAAAAATGCTGTAAAGAAGAAGCGCCAATATTTTTATGCAAATCGCAAAATATAAAAAAGAACACCTGAAACACGTTTCATATTCAAGCCAGTTTTATTGATTTTCAAACCTTGACTGGTATTTCTGTTGCACAATTCAATTCTTGTATTTCCAATTAATTAGCTGGCGATGGATTGCCGAGAGATGCAGTTGACAAACGCAGAAATAGATAATACCGAAGCAATAAAAGAAAGCATGAAGAATGGAGTTGGGTATGGAGGATGGTTGGGAAGAAAGAAAAGTACTTTTCAATCGAAGCCTTTTAATAATGCAACAACTTTAGGGGTTGACCGATGGTGAAGGGGTGGAGTACACTAAAAGATATCTGGGACTTTAAATGATTGCATATATTATTATTATACCAGTTTTGCTTATTTGAAATTAGTTCAGGATGTTATGTACTTCAGCCGGCTTAAGCTCAATATCTCAATATATGTTCTAAATATAGATAAGAAAATTTTAAATGTTGTATTGGTTTTGAGTGTGCATTGATTCATAATTGTAATGATATAGTTATAAACATGTTATTTCTACAGTAATTAGAGCTTTCAAAAGATAAGACTATATAATAGTCTAGTTATTATATTATCGTTTTGGTTTTAAATAAATATGAATATATTTCTGAATAAATTATATCATTGAGATCATTTCTTTTTGTGTACCACCCAAAGACAAGTCGAAGTATAGCAATCAGACTGTAGAAGTTGGCCGGGAACATAGCAGGACGACAGAGCAGAGCCCAACAGCACAGGACTAGAATAGAATACCATGGGATAGAGCAGCAGAGCAGCAACCACTACATGGCACACGCCATAAGCACATTAGTTATTAGCGCAGGGACCAGCTGAACTCCCCATTATACCCCATCCGCCCGATTTGTACGGCCACACGCGATGGGAGAAGTTGGTGGGTTCAGTCTGCTCGCTAAGCACGCTGACATGTCCATAAAAGCCTTGAAGTGGACAGGCCACAAAGCACAAACAGGACATACAAATACACACGCAGCGCGAGGGCGATGAGAATTGTCAATTGTATGCATTTCCGCTTGTGTCCCCCAACTTTTGTGGTCATATCCTCAACCTGATTCCTTCCTCTGGTTGCGGGCTCTTTTTTTTCCTATAACTTTTCTTTTTTTTTTTTTTTTTGGTTAGACATGACGTCCATTAGCTGTTTTTCCGCTAAATTATAGAGTTGAAACGCATACACCCACCACCCAATTACGCCGGCGAAAAGCATGGCCAGGATGGGCGAGGAGACAGGACGGCTTTAGGCGTGAACACACACACGTGACAGATAAAAGCGGTCACGAATGTTATATGACATTTCTATAAATTAAACATTAGATGGCATTTCTTTAAATTTTTATCATTACCAGTTTAAATACCAATCGCATTTTCATATAGGTTAGTCATTTTTGGTAGAGATTTTAAGATGTAAACTTAGAAAATTGATAATAACAGGATCAACTTGAGACATTGAAAAATTTATTTATTTAAGCATTTATCCCATTACAATACTTTAATTTTTGGTGTTTCATATATTTTTGTTGGTTTCTCTTATGGGGTTTGCATTGACATCTGCTAATGTACTTCAGATTTGTTTAACGTCATTGTATTTAACAAATGATCCCTGATGCAGGGCGATGTAAAATTAATAGAGATGACACTTTAAGAATTTTAAGAACAATCTTTTTGTATATTAAAAAAAAAAACATTTTTAAATCCAGAATTTTTACCTGGATGTCAATCATTTGACATGTTTTGATAATAAAAACTAATAAAATACTCGGATCAACATAGGGATCAACACCTTTTTGGGTGAAAGGGAAAGGATGGTTCTTAAAACGTAAAGGTCATTGTTTAATTAATTATAATTTTAAGAAAATTCTGGCGGAATTCTTAAGTTTATCAATATAAAACTACCCGTCAGCGTCAATAGTAAATATAGTCATGCCGGACTTTTATTGTGATCTAAATATATATTATGCTCTCAGATAATGGTTTTCTAAATGTCACTAACGTAATTTGTATGCTTGATTTAAATAAAGGCCACGCGTCCTTTTCAGATTTACGCAATTGGCAAAAACCTAATGAAATTTTGGTTAGTTGCAGTATTGCAGTTTGAGACCTTTATGAGACATTTACTAACAAGGAAGTTCTTCTACCTTCAGTTTTTAAAAACATAAGCGTATATTTGCCATATTCATTTAAAATTGTAAAGATGAAATACAAATAAAATGTAGTTTTCGAAAGTTTTAATCGACTTTCGGTAAAAATTTGATAAAAGTTTGAATGTTGATTCTTAGGTAGTCCATGGTATTATGTCTTTAGAAACTAACTATAATGGGAATTACATGTTTTGTTATATCAGCGAGGGTATACCAACTTCAGTGTGCTGAGGTAAACTTTCTTTCCCGTTTTTTTTCGCTTTTGGTGGGTAGCCACAAACCGCGTTTTCATGTGGCTTGCCACGTCTCGCTGGACATAAACTCTCCAACTGTTCCCCTTTTGCCTTTATTTTATTTTCTTTCCCGCCACTGTAGTTGTTGTGTTTGCGTTTTTGTGGTCAGCCAGCCCACCTGCGTATTAGTGTATTGGCCTGAGGGGATACATGCACGAAAAAAAAGAAGTTTCAAGCGCTCACCTGGCCGAGCAACTTAAATTATTGTCCTTTATTGTTGTTGGGGTTCCTGGATGGGTGGAGTTTGGGAGGTGGGTGGTGGGCGGTTGGTTGGACGCGTGTGCGCTGTCAAAAGCTATTTGAACAGGATGTGGACAGCAATCAAATGATTTTCACATAATTGCTTACCTGTCATTTATGTCACTTTCAGGAATGCAAGCAGCCTGCTAACTTTCTCCTTCCAACCCCTTTCTCTTTTCTCTTTGTTACCCTGGGCCTAACTTGCAGTCCTTGCTCCTGGGAAGCTGTGAAAATTGCGGCTGGAAAAAGTTCTCCCATCGTCCATCTGACCACAAACAAACTGCAATTAGAAGGTGCTGATAAGGACGGAAGCAATCTGCAGTCCATTTCCATTCTTAAATTGCTCTTCATCGGGTATTATAAGGGTTTCTAAATTTTATTTGTCTAGGAACGCTGTCACAGAAATTACCCTATAATTAGTTTACCAACCCGTTGGGAACGGCTGTTAATACTCCCAGAGTTTCATTAGTTATTAGATTGGGTGGCCCCATTCTTGATGTGGAACATGCACATGTCTTGGGGGAGTTCATCTTGGAAGGACTGTGGAGTTTTAAAATTATTGCAATTTGCCTGAATAATGCATGGACGTCAGAGGAACCTTTGGTATAATGAATGCCCTGTCTAATGCCACGTCATCGTCATTGGCGATATGGTGGATCGACCCCCTTAATGATATTTGTCCAGGTCAGCGCAATTTGTTGCATTTCACAGGCATTTAGTCGAGGGGGTGTATAAGGGCGATTGCTCTATCAATAGTTAAACGATTTGCTATCTTAGACAAACGGGTTCCGCCCCCTTTTGCCTTAACTTCGCTAGCTCACTCCTTTGATGATCCCTTTATTCAGCTTTTGAAATATGCATAATGTGAAAACATCAGCTGAAGTTCCATCGGAAACGCATATAGCTGCAAGAAAACTGCAGTTCTTGTGCCCATTTCGAACGCCTGGTTATTAGTCTAATGTCGAACTTAAAATTCATTACCCAGCCCCACACACCTCTGTAGGAAAATGACTATACAATTGGTGGGTCTATATATATTATATATACATATCCCACATATCTTGGTTGGGGGTTAGAAAGAGTACCCAATTTTATATAATGAATCCATATTTCACATATGTAAAGTTCCAATCAAAAAACTGCACTTTCCTCCAATGATACCAATGTAGTATATCCGTATATAGGGTATTCGCCCCCATTTCGTATATAGGAACTTATCTATTCTATGGTCCGTATAGAGTGTTCTGTTTTGGTCAATCCAGTACAATTATCCTGGTTGCCTAGCATCCGGTGTCCATAAGCGGTTACTTCCCCTGTTTTTGGTATTGTCACTTGATTTGTACGATTTCTATTGGCCGACAATTTCCGCTGTCCATATACCGATCCTATAGCTTCCGATTGGTCAGCCCTTGGGCATTAATATATGGGTTTTCCGGTATAAATAGCCCCAGTTCTGGTGAATCGTATTCATTAGTTTTTGTACAGGACTCTCGGGCGGTGCTTTCTGCACTTGCTCTTGCCATTTGGTTGGATCCTCAGATCCCTAGTGTTATATAACTGGAACAAGTCTGTGAACGTGGAAAGAATATCTATAAGATATTTGCCAAAAATAATAAAATTAGTGGAACCTTGTGATATTTTTTTAGAAAAAATAAAAGGTAAATTGTTGATGAACGAAACACATTTTAAACAGTGCCGTATGGTTTTTATTTTTTAAATACTAGTTCGTAGTTGAAAGGACTAGATTTTGCTAACTTAAGTAAGTCTAACAAATCAAAGATCACCAAAGAAAATTAAGATTTTCTCTTTCTAGAATTCCTTATTTCAAATCCACATAAGATAAGTAAGAAACAGCTAAAAAAAAATGTCCAGGTCGTTGGGCCAATTCTAGCAATTTTCGATTGCATCACCATCCAAAGACCTCGGAATTGAAGGTGGCTACCCTTTCTTTAAGCTCTTCCCACGCGCACACCACATAATTTTACACTCCACCTGTACTTCATCGCTCAGCAATTTCAGTTTCAAGCCGAGTCAATTTTAGAGCCTCCTCTTGAGCCCTCAAAAAATTCATTTAATCTTCCGTCGCTGCTTTTTGCTCATTGTTATATCGAACATATTTTTGACAACTTAACAGCAGCCACAGCAGCTTGGACAATTGACATTTTGACATGTGAAACCACGGAAAATAAAACAAAAGCTGCTGTGAGCTCGATTAATCGACGTTAAAATACTCTACCATTTATTATAGTTATGTTGTTAATATTAAGATTTTAAGTTTTTCATTTTCAAAATGATTTCCATACCTGTTCCTTTAAAATGTATATTTCATATTCGTTTTAAACCATTTTTTAAGCTCCAACGATGACTGATAATATTAAAATCTTTACGCAACATAAAGTAATTTTAATTAGGTAGTGCTATCCTAATGAGTCAAATCCATATAACTTGTTGTTCCCGTTGAGATACTTAGTTTCAGGGTATAATAATAAACCTGAATTGCCAGGAAAAAATGAGGGATTTCATCTTATTGTTGTGGGCAGATCGTTCCACACAAAGCCCCACAATTGTTGTACCAGACTCTCTCACCGACTGCCCCCGGGCTCCCTTTCTATAAATTTATAATTTTTCGTTACATTTTGTATGGTTATTGCACATGGTGGATTGCTCAATTTTGCCAACATAAATATATAAATCATATATGCAGTGCCAAGCAAGAATACTTTTATAGAAATATAAAATATAGCTTTCGTTTAAGCGTTGGTTGTCTGGCATTTCCGCTATCTGGGCTTTCTGGGGGGCTTGTGCGGCACAGGGCGTATACTTGATGATGGATGCCACCCAAATTGGAAGTGCAACGCGGGGCTTTGAGATGAATCGCCGTCAGGTGCAGCTGCGGCACGAACCAGATCGGATCGGCATAGAGCTTAGCTCTGAAATGGAAGCTGAATTAAATTGTTATTCAATTGCGGTGGGCAAACAACGACAACAAACCTGCGACTCACCTCATGCCTTCTCTGAATCTGTTCATCAGTGATGGCATTTCTTAAAAAGGAAATTAATTGACTGCTAGTAATCGGCATTTTGTGGCGATTTTATTTCAACAGCTTTAATATTTGTTTTTTTTTTTTTTAAATTTGACTTGATTTAAAGTATGATTCGTCTTAGTTTGCGTTGCTTTTCTGTTTGAACTATACATAAAATAAATACTAAAAAAAAGTTCTCATAAATTTCCAATTTCGTATAACCATAAAATTGTTATCTTGAGAACAGAAAAACCTTAAATAACCCTTTGGTGTGTATAAAAAATATTAAATCGCTTTTTGATTTAAGTTTTTTTATTGGAAGCACTGAAATTTTTGTTAAAATTTCTCAAAACAGCTATATTAAAAATATGAAAGTATGATAAATACAAAAAAAAATTCTCAGAAATTTCCTATTTTGTATAACCATAAAATTGTTATTATGAGAACAGAAAAACCTTAAATAACACTTTGGTGTGTATAAAAAATATTAAATCGCTTTTTGATTTAAGTTTTTTAGTGGAAGCCCTGAAATTTTTGTTAAAATTTCTCAAAACAGCTTCATTAAAAATATGACTTGAAAAGATATCACCGAATTAAGCAACCAAATCCTTAACCAAATCTTAAACCAAACTTTTTATATTAAAGCCAGATTTGCCTACTAGCTTAAATGACAACTCTGTTCGACCCACAGCGGTTTACAGCTGCCGAGAGTTGTTGACTCGAGGCAGTGGCAGTTCGATTTAATGTGTCAGTTGAACCGAAACTGGCCAAAGATCAACATAGTTGGCTAAACAATTGAGAGATTAATCGTCATCCGAATTCCGCCTTTTCGATTGCAGAGAGACTGAGAATGAAGCGTGAAATGAACGATGCAGGGGAGGGACCACAGGACCAGAAGCGCAACCGCCGCAACGAGGAGACAGTTCGCATACTGATTCCCAGCAGCGTAAGTGTTTTAACAATGAATAAATTAAGCATAGACATAGAAATACCCATAATTAACGAGCCCCAAACTATTATTTTTCTTATTTTATTTCGCAGATTGCTGGCGCAGTGATTGGCAAAGGAGGACAGCACATTCAGAAGATGAGGACTCAGGTACTATAATCACATAAACCCCATAGTCACCACAAAACAAAAAAAAAAAGATAGACAAACAAACTGCATAATTCACTATTGAAGCGTCTAGTATTATTTACAATTATGTTTTATTTGTTGCACCACAAATTAGAAACTTACAAGCGAAAATAACCAAATCGAATCCATGTCCCCAGTGAATCCCGAAAACGTCTGCCTCTGTCATTGTGTGTCTCTCTAGCGAACTCTGTCTCCCTCTCTCTCTCTCCACATCTATCTCAATTCTCTCGACTTTCTCTGGCAGCCGTCCAATTCTCCAGCTCGAATCTGAGCTTTGAAATTCCCGAAAAAAGCGAAAAGAACACTGAGTCTGAAGAGCACCCTGTCTTGTCTCTCGGCCCCCACTTTCCCCTTCTCTCTTTCTCTCTTCCCCACTATATCTCTATCTCGATCTCTGTACTCTTTAAGTAGGCGGATGTCCTCGAGAAATTCGAAATCAAGTCGATAACCAACACGCTTCTCACTAACTCGGGTCCTTGCACTCAGCTAATAACGCTATTTCTCTCATACTATCTCTCACTTTCTCTGTTTGGCTACCGTTTTTCGAATCTCTGTTTCTCTTTATTTATCGTTTCGTTACTCAAATTAAAATAAAAAGGTAAATTTCTAAAAAAAAAAAAAGAAATATAGGGGAATATCTAATCCATCAAGCTTGGATGCAATATGTAATATATACTACAGGCGCTTTATTTAATCAAAACTTGGACAAAAATTCAGTTTTTTGTATAACTCAATAAGAACAACATGAAAATAAAACGATAAATTTACACCGCTAATTAACCTTTTAACTAAATGAACAATTTTCTCTCTCTCTTCTCTCTCTCTCTCTATTCTTGCGTACACCCCATATGTAACCAACAAATCGATTTCGATTTGAACGAACCAAAAAAAAAAAAAAATCAAACTGTCGTCGGTTCGCACGTCCAACAAAAATCTTCAACCGCTCATCTGAATCGAACCGAACTTTATCGATCGAAACGAAACGAAATGAATCGAATCGAATCGAATCGAACCTCAAACCAACCAATAATCGCCCGCCCGCCCGCACCATCACTCTGCACCGCTGGTCCATGGTCTCTGGTCTATATGTCCCACCTGGGTACTGGGTAATCTCGGATCAAAATCTCTATCCGTATCTGAAACTGAAACTGGCCTGGCCCGATGTCGAAACTTGAACCCGAACCCGAACTCGAACTCGAACTCGAATTGCACCCCCTGTTGCTGTGCACTATGCTACAAAATTTGGCTATAAACGCCTATATATATATATTCTAATATCTGTATATATACGCGTACGAATCCCTATTTCCATCTGCCATGTGGGTTTGTATCTGTGTGGGTGCCCTCCCCCCTCCTCCTATGTGAAATACCTCTCTATATATGAAAATGAAAACGGCGAATTAATCAACCGATAAAAAAAAAAAAAACGAAAAAACTTATACTAAATCGCCCGTCTATCGACCAACCAAACGCCCGCCCGCCCGCCTGTCTGATTGCCCGCCCGCCCATCGACCGAAACCGAAACCGAACGCCCGCCCGCCCATCAACCGCCCGCCTGCCTGCCCGCCCGTGTCTCCAATAATGTGTGAATAATGTGCGGCACAGTATAAAGCCACTGTGTCTGTCGACGATTCCCAAGGCCCCGAACGGTAAACCACAACAAATCTTTAACCTTTTACCAATTACTAGATTATAACCGCATCTCTCCAATGCATATCCTAAACTCGTATATTGTGTGGATTATACTATCCAAAAGGCACCGAAACGAGTGGGACTCGTGTGTGTGTGGTGCTTAGCCTTATAGCCTTAGCCCATCTAGAAACTCTCTGTATGTCCTGTATGCGCTAGTTGTACCCATCTATAAATATATTACATGAACATTGTGATGTCTCCTTTCCCTAAAAAAAAATAAAAATAAAAACAGTCACTAGGTGTCCCGATCTGTATTTTGTAGTAGTTTTGCAACCAAGCTTGCCACTATCTAACTAGCTCGGTCTCGATCTCGCTCTACGGCTAATCCTAATCCTAATCGCATACTAATCCGCAACGCACCGCAAGTACCCCGATTAACCCATCCCAAAATGCACGGCCTAGGTACTTTCCACCGAACTCTGAAATCAGCCATGAGCCACGAGCCAAGAGCCGATCTGTTGGCCTGAGATCATCCATATTTGTCCACATCGAAATCCCAGCAAGCGTCTTGTGTGTCCTTGTGTGGTATTGTTGTTTGCTTCATGGCAACAGGGACAGAATCTCACTTGCTCGCCCTCTTGTTCTCTCTATCTCACCGAAACTCTCTACCAAAGTTTGTTCTATGGTCCC